TGACTTCCAGGCAGAAGGAATGAAAGAATAAAGCAAAGGGATTAGGTCTTTCTGCAGCTCCTCTATCCCTTGCTCTGAATGCAGCCCAGAGAAAATTCAGGAGACCTAGCTATTTGTTGGTGCATTCAGTTAGGGCAATGGGAAAAAAAAAAGTACACAACAGTGATTTCTTGTGTAATTTCTTTAAAAGTCAGTCAACTGTGAAACATAAATGCATTGGGAAGCAAAATCCTTCAGTGCTCTGGTCAATGAAAAAGATCATTTCTTCTGAAGAAGAACACTTGCAGTTCCTGCTATTCCTACAGCAAGCCCAATGACATGCCCAGAGCCTGGACACAACAATGCCAGCAATCTCTATTCTGAGCAGTAGATGACTCATTCGGCAGTGCTCCAGATTAGCATTTCCACTAGAAAACACAGAGAATTTGTAATATGGACCTATGGAAAGCCTGGTAGTCATGAGAGCAAACAAGGAGATGACAAGAATGAAGCAAAGACAATAAAGGAAAGGTGAGCAGACATTTTAGAGAGAAAACAAACACCCAAAAGTCAGGGTAGAATGAAGAAAAGAGCAAGAAAAGACTAAGTGACTGAACTAAGGACGTAAAATGCAGAAAAATATGGTTATAGGAAAAGAGTAGAGAATAACAGGAGGTCTTGACACTCCTGTGTACATTCCTGTGGAGATTACTGAGAACATGGGAAAGTGAAATAACTGTTGAGACCAATATCTCATAGAACATTTCAGTACCAGTCCTCTGTATGCTTGTATTTAAGATTCTTCAGTATCACTTCCCAGCAGCTGTGGCCACATCCTCACTGTTGCAGAACAACTTAGAAAGAAAAGTCTGATGCTGAAGAGATAAGCAGGAAAGTGTCACGCTACCATGAAGACTCTATCTGCTGATGCACCAGCGCAGTGTCCTATCCTGTCTCTACTTCTGGAGATTCTAACAGATTGGCCATGTTGAGCCATTTCCAGGAAGTGTGAGAAGCCCTTCAAACACATTCAAAACTCCAGCTTGCTTGGATCAGACTGGATTTTTGCTTAAACCACAAATGGAACCAATTTTAATCTGTTCTTCTGAAATGTCCAAAACAGTTAATGGAGAAAAACAGGCAATTAACAGACAAATAGCAAGTGTCACAGAATCACAGAATCACAGAATTGTAGGGGTTGGAAGGGACCTCCAGAGATCATCGAGTCCAACCCCCCTGCCAAAGCGTCTCCCCACTCCCCCCCCCCCCACGTTCCTGTGTTTACCAAATAGTCCTACAATTAGCCCTATAAAAAGGATATCTCATGTCCTTTGAGGAATTCTTTGAAAAGGATCATTAAGGTAATACTTTTTCTTCGGGGAAAACTAGTCCGAATACCATACAAAAACTGAATAAGGTTCTGGAAGATGTTTACAGCTTATGGAACGAAATTCATAGGTTCAGAGGACCAGAAAGGCTGTGTACTGTTTATTATTAAATTGTTCCTTAAGACATAGAGTCATAGTGTCAAAAATAGCCTTAAGGGGAGAATAAGCAAAGGGGTAATAAGCAGCTGGATTCAACACAGGAACACTGCATGAAATTATTACAAAAATTAGAATATAATTACATTGATAAACAAGTCTGATTGAAAAATAAAGGCATTCTCAAATCAGAAGTCACCTTTCTCTGTCATTTATGAGAAATTTGTAAGTATATCCATTAAAGATAGAAACAAAAGTTGGGAAAACTTAAAACATATGACTTACAAAAAGCTTGATGTAATGGTCATATCTCAGAAGTGTGAGTCTTTAACTTAGGCAAATATCTGTCTGCTAATTTTGGATTAGGTATCAGTGAAGCAGATTTAGCACTTTCCCAACTTCTTAAGTGTAATTTTTAGTCAAAGTTCAATTGTGGATCAATTTATTTGTTAGTTCAAAATTGTTACAGACATGGTCCTGTAAGGAAGCGTCAAATTTTGATTATGAAGAATACATGCTCATGCTTTATGTCCACAGTAAAGTTCAACAAGTTCTGGATCCAAAAGAAATAAGGAACAAAGAAAGCACAGGAAAAAATGCATCATGTTTAATAGTGGGATGCAGGAAACTACACCAAAGAAATGGGATTGTTTAGTACACTCAGTTCTCCATCAAAAGGGGTGAAAAGCGAGGAACCACATTAAAAAAATAAATAAATGAATTTAATTCAGGTTAGTCAGAAACTGATAGAAATATAAAGTTTATGATGGATGCTTCTATTTGGCATGCTCAGGAGAATAGAAAAGCAGCTGTATCTAAGGTTATCCATAGTCAAATGGAATGTGGTAAGGCTCATCGGAATTCCAGTATCTAGGGCACTTTTCTGAATGGAAAACTTTCCTAAGCTGGTATGTGGTCAGAAAAGGAAAGAAGAAAAGGTGATAGTAAATAATACTGGAAGTGACAGAGTCATAGAATCTTAGAATCATTAAGGTTGTAAAAGATTTTGAAGATCATCCATTCCATCTGTTCACCTAACAACAATATTTCTACATTAAACCACGTCCCTTAGTACAACATCTAAACATTTCTTGAACACTTGGAGGGATGGTAACAATCACTTTGCCTCTAAAAAAAGAATGAGAAGTAACTTAGGGAAATGCTTTTAAGCCATGGTTGTCCAACCTTTAGGTTTACCTTTGTTCGCATATACAATATATAATATAGTTAATGTATATGTGTAACAAAACTTCATATATATATATATGTATATATAATTAAAACATTAAAAGGAGGGCAACAAAAAAAATACAACTAGTGTGATAATTGACCTTGATTTTGTGAAACACAAATCAAATACATATCACAAAACTCATTAGGAATCTATCTAAAATTATTCTATATTTTTGTGAGCTTTTTGAGAAGTTGGATATTTCTTCCTCAGTGAATGAGTGATGTTATGAAGTAACACAAGTCCAAGTTTAATAAGAAATAAGAAAATTTACATAGGCACTTAGTAACAAAAAAAACAACCATATATTTCCACAGACATACATATGTGTAGGTGGGTTGAAATATTGTTGACAATCATTGCATCTTACTCACCAAGCAACACAAACACGTGTACAGTGTAATGCACGAGACATCAATTCAGCTTAATGTGTGTGGAGGGCACAAGAGGTGTAACTAGCACTGCACTGCACGTCTCTCCACAGCATTCCATTGTTGCCTACACAGTTGGCACTTGAGCTAAGCTCAATGAATTCATGAAAAATGTTATTAAAAATCACACAATAATAATAAAATTTATAATTTTGTGGGACCACGCTAGTAGCTGCCCAGGGCTGCGTGTGGCCCATGGGCTGTGGGGTGGACAAGTCTGCTTCAAACACTGCTAATGTTTTGCTATATGAACATTTGAAGTCAGCCTCAAATTCTTTTTAAGCAAAACTGTACACTTGCCAGTGCTAAGAAAAGTAGGTCAGTATTTCATTCCTGCTAAGACCTTGCAGATACTGAGATTTTTTTCCTCCTGCTTTGCATGAACAAGTCAAAGCTCATGGTGTTTTCCATGCACAGCTAAGATACTAACAGGAAGAGAAACAAGCTTCAAACTTGGTGCTGATGCTTGATTTAACAGGGCACTCCTGAAGAAGTGAGTCACCCACAGCCTGACAGTGCTGAAAACCAAACTGCCCACTTCCGAAAAGATGCCTTCACCAAAGAATTGAAAGCCAAACTAGATGGTCATTCTGCAGCAGAAACTGGAGCACTACATAACATGGCAGTGGCATAGACTGTTAAGGGAGGTAGTAGAGTCATTGCGCCTGTAGGTGTTCAAGAACCATGTGGATGTGGCACTGAGGGACATGATCACTGGGCATGGTGGGGGTGGATTGGGGTTGGACTTGATGATCTGAGAAGTCTTTCCAACTTTAATCCTTCATTCTATACTATCCCGGAGATGTTCAGGAAATGTATGGATGTGGCACTGAGGGGTGTGGTTAGTAAGCATCGTGGGAATGGGGCAATGGATTGAGATGATCTTAGAGGTCTTTTTCAACCTTAACAATTCTGTGACTTTGATTCTCTTGTAAAATTGGCAGGGCTGTTCACAGGATCAGAAAGCAAGAACACTTAGCTTTTTGATGGTTAGGACAAATATCTGAAAGGATATAAAGAACAGTAATCCTAAGTCATGGTCCCTGCGCTGTCAACGAATGGATGTATAGTAACGAGAGTTAGTGGCCTCTCCATCTCAAACTGCTGTCTTGCAGTAGATAATAGTATAATAGTGAGCTTACTCAGATCTTTTAAAGAATAGGTGCTTACCACAGAATCACAGAATCACAGAATCACAGAATCACCTGGGTTGGAAGGGACCCCAAGGATCATGTAGTTCCAACCCCCCTGCCTAGCAGGGCCACCAAACATACACATTCAGATCAGGTTGCCCAGGACCCCGTCCAACCTGGCCTTAAACACGTCCAAGGACGGGGCATCCACAACCTCCCTGGGCAGCCCGTTCCAGGGCCTAACCACTCTCCTAGTAAAGAACTTCCCCCTAACATCCAACCTAAATCTTCCCTCCTTCAACTTAAAACCATTTCCCCTAGTCCTGCTGTTATCAGCCCTTCTTTACTCCCCTCCTGGTGTAAACTCCTCCTGGAGTTTACTCCCCTCCTGGGTGTAGGTTCCCTTCAGGTATTGATAGGCTGCAATGAGGTCACCCCGCAGCCTTCTCTTCTCCAGGCTGAACAAGCCCAACTCCCTCAGCCTGTCCTCATAGGGGAGGTGCTCCAGCCCCCTGATCATCTTAGTTGACCTCCTCTGGACCCTTTCCAAAATCTCAATGTCTTTACCAGAAATCCGGAAGCACAGCTCAGCTTTTCTGAAGAATATGTTCCAGGGGTGAATTAAGCAGCTTTTTTTTGCTCTTGTCATGAGAAAATGAAGATTTGGAGCAAAAAAAAAAAAAATGCACTTTGATGTAATTTTCTTTTGTTTAAATTTTTTATTTTCTTTTTGCCCCTGAAGGCTTCATTGTATCTTTACAGAGAAGAAAAGATGTTTCGCGCTCTTGGACTCACATGCATGATTTGTTGGTGCATGATGCTATTTTGTCCTTTGCATGCTGACCTTCAGTGTATGGGGCGTAAGTATATTTTTATGTAGTCCGAGGAATGGTGTTTAATTCCTCATTATTAGAGTTATTTGAAATTAAGCTGGTAATAGTGAATTTAGGCCTGAAATATACTATACTCTCTATTTAACAGTAGCAGCACCATATTCTAATTTGAACTTATCCTGTAACCATTTCAGCAGGGACACAAGAATTGCCTATCTCAAACTTGACATTAAACCGGAGAAGAATGGAGCTGTCCTGGCAAAGCAGCAAGAACTTCTCCAGTTACAAGTGTATCATGGCTGCAAACTTCAAACTCAGAGAAATGAAGGTAAACATTCCGTTCATTGAGATAATTTACCGCATTTTTTCTGTTTACCTCTTACAGATTTCATTTACCTTGAAAAAAAATTGCATCAGTTGGCTTTAAAATCTGTGACTGTTTGCAGTCTACATCTTAATCTATGAAAAGCTATTGCTGATGCTAGGGTGTATTTGATGTGAAAGAAGCTTCCCAAAAGAAGCACAGAAGTGAGGTTCAGTCACCCAAGAGAAAGGGAGGTGATAGCCTGAACTGCAGCTGTGCTGAAGCATGAATGGGAATATAGCTACTCTTCGTCTCAGGTGTGAGACAGAGAGATACCTGGAGAATTTAGAGGGATGCAGATTAGCTTCAGCTGAAAAGTGAATATTCCAAATGATGTAATGGATTTTCAATGTCTCAAGTTCTTCACCTATTTCTCGGTGAACAAGCCTCTAGGACACATTTTGTTATAAACTCATGCTATCCTAACAGAAAAGTTGAGGAGATTGTTGCAGAGAGGAGGAGACAGAGAGACAGCTTATTTAGAACAGCAAAGCAGAAGCTTAATTGGAAATATGTACTACAATAATACACCATGCTGTCACTGAAGATTTTAAATTTAATGCCATAGATATCTTTCTTAACCTCATGGAGATCAGATAAAGATTTTTGTTTAACTGGGATCCTCTGATTTAATTTCATTTTGGTTCTCCTGTTGATTCAGCATCTTCTCTTACGTCTTTGGGTTAATATTAGCCTTCCTTAATTGTCATTTGATGGTGTAGAAATCTCTTTGTGTAGTTGTGCTTTCAATTACTCAGTTTCATTCTAGATTATCCTCAATTTGTAAAGAAGAGCATAAAACAGCCACAGGCATTTGAGGCATTGGAACAGGCTGCCCAGGGAGGTGGTGGAGTCACCATCCCTGGAGGTGTTGAAGAACCGTGTGGATGTGGCACTGAGGGATGTGGTCAGTGAGCATGGGGGGGGTGGGTTGGGGTTGGGCTTGATGATGTAAGGAGTCATTCCAAACTTGATCATTCTATGCTTCTACATAAACACACTAAATTTTGGCCATTGGAGTTATTGCTGACTGGTCCTTTCAGATCCAGCACTATCTAAAATGGCAGAGGAAAATCAGAGAAGCAAAATATGTACATGTTATTTTTTAGGTGAAGAACAAATCATGCAGGTTTGAAGTAGAAGATAGCGTGCCTCTGTACAGAGGAGCAGCCTTCACGATTACAGTACCAAAGACAAACATCTCAAAAATTTGTCCATTTTTCCCTGAAGGTAATGCTTGTGGTTTTCTCCTTTTAAAATCTTTTGAAGGTAAATAATACCATAGGAAACAGTTCCTTAAACAGTAGTTAAATATTATTCTTCTATTTGAAATATTTGTCTTTTTAAGTCTGTTGAAGCCATTTGTTCTCTAACTGACCATTCTGCAGTTCTGCAATAGAGGTGTTACAAAAAATGTATCAATAACTGTATTATTCCTTTTCTTGCTAGGGCTCCAAAACGCTGTTAACTTACAGTGGTTTCAGGGTGATTCAAGTAATTGTTCTGGCAAAGACACTAGTGCTTCTGCAGCCGCATGTAGCTGGGTTATTTCAGACTTGGAAAAAATAATAAGATTAAGTAGTTCATCTTTTCTTAGGGATTCCACAAAGGAGACTTTTTCACAGTGTCCTAAAAAATACAACCCAGGGTACTGCCCTTCAAATACTCCTCCCCATCTGGATCTCAGGTCCAGGCATGCAGGTTTTCCAAGGGGACTCCCATGTTTCTCAGGTGCCTTCACCTGAGGGAAGGGAAGGGAGGAGAGGGGAGGAGAGGGGAGGAGAGGAGAGGAGAGGAGAGGAGAGGAGAGGAGAGGAGAGGAGA